AAGTGTCACATTCAACTCCCCACAGCAGTTGGCCATAGCACTTCAACGGTGGTATGAGACCAAGGGAAAAATGCGAGAACACATCCGATGCTGCGAAAGCAGCCCTCGAACCATAAGGAGGCAGCAAACTGAGGCTTTAATACGTCCCCGAGCTTCAGTGACACTAGAGCGATGCAGTTCTGAGAATAACAGTCTGTGTCACCCAAGTGTCCTGCCTAAATCCATGGAAAAAACCACAACGGACCTGTTCCATCGGAATCGGTCAACTAGTCCCAACATTAAGTCCCCTACCAGCAGACCGGTTCAAGTTAACTACCCCACAACACGCTGAGGTTGTAAGACTCACTGTCAGCTGCCTATATAGCAACGTGAGGGGGCTGAGAGGAAAGATAGGTGAGCTCCGAAATCTCCAAGCACACCTACAACTGAAAATGATCATTCTCACCAAAACATGGCTAACCCTCACTATCGCCGATAATGAATTCAGAACAGGCGATATGGTTCTGGTCAGGAGAGACAGGGATAATAAGGAAGGAGGGGGAGTTGGTATATACTTTGACAGGCAACTTAAATGTGTGCACGCAACGGACCCACCGCTTATTGAACTTCCAAACTCCATATGGTGTCATTTCACCGTAGGCCACACCAAGCATTTACTTGGTGGCATCTACCGATCTCCCACCTGTGGGCCAGAGCACAATCAGCTACTGCTCAGCAATATCACAGGGATACGAGACTTGGGCTATGACCAAATCACCATAGCTGGAGATTTCAATGCCCCATCACTGAATCTTGGCTCGGGGTGTGCTAAGCGAAAAATTGGCCGAAATCTACTGCAAACTATTTGGAACACGGGACTGACTGAGAACGTTGGAGACGACAATAGGTGGGGCCCTAATGGAAAGTCATCCAAACTAGACTGCATTCTAACTAGTGATCAACTACTCGTCGAGAAGGTCCAGATCATGACTCCTCTAGGAAGTAGTGACCATGCAGTCATAGGTTTCGACCTCGTTCTCCGTGAGCATTTGCAGTATGACGCTACGCAACCATGTCTGTGTTGCAGCAAGGCTGACTATGCTGAAATGCGGAGGCTCTTGTCCGATGCAGACTGGCCCTTAGCATGGGATGAGCTGTCTGTGGATGAACACTGGGAAGCGGTAAAAAAGATTATTCATACAGTAATCTCGGATACCGTCCCTTTAGTCACAACACAGCCCAAAAGAAAGTCATCGTGGTTAAAGAGAGGCACGCAGCGTATTCTGCAAACAAAGCGGAAGGCTTGGTTTACGTGGCGCGTATCTAAGAGTCAGATCAACCACGATGCATACCTGGAACTCAGGAATCGGTGCAATGCAAGAGTCAGGAGGGACAGGAGGTCATTCCAGGCTAACCTTGCTAAAAACTCCTAGTGAAACCCAAGAACGTGTACCGATTCATGTCGGAAAGAAAACCAACCAACCAGGGGCATGCGCCTTGGGAGGCCCAAACGGTCAATATCTCACTAGTCTGGAGATGGCTGAAACATTCAGTTTAGCCTTCGCCAAACAGCTAAACAGCAATGTAGGTATTACCGTTACGAACCAAAATGGTGGCACCACTATTTCACAGGAGGAAGACCTAATGGCTACTACCCAAATAAACCCCGCAATAGTACTGATAAAGCTACAGCGATTCACACCTGGGAAGTCCCCAGGTTGTGACGACATCAGGCCATCTGCTCTGAAACAGTGCGCCGAAGCTCTCTGTAGGCCCTTGTGAGACTTGCTCCAACACTCCATGGAATCGGGGAAAGTGCCAAGGGAGTGGAAAAGAAGGATTCTTTCTCTGAGCTTCACGGGTAGGGATAGACGAAATCCCACTAGTTATAGACCAGTAGCTCTACTCCCAGTGGTATCAAAAGTACTGGAAATTATTATTGACGATCACATCAGGGAATATCTCGATAGGTCTAATATACTCCGTGAAGCCCAACACGGTTTCAGGAAAGGCAGATCCTGCGTCACTATCCTACTATCAACCTGGGACGATTGGACATCATGCTGGGATATGAATGTTCCAGTCCATGTGGTCTTCCTAGACTCTGAGAAGGCACTTGACACTGTTCACCATGACATTCTCCCACACAGAATAGGCCAGGTAGGTATAGGTAAGTTACTTCTGTCATGGTTAAACGACTACCTAGCTGAGAGGCAGTTTTGCACCAAGGTCACTCGAATCCGATCATCTTAGTACAACTCGTCATCAGGAGTGTCGCGGAGTTCTATCCTGGGACCACTGATGTTCTTGATTTTTATCAATGATCTACCATTGGACACAGGCGTAAATTACACGGGCGATGTAGCGAGGGCATATGCGGTCATACATTTTACACATAGACAGTTAGGTGCACTCACTCCTCAGCTCTTTCTAAGGTTGTACAAGACATACGTCAGACCACACCTTGAAGTACTCTCTGTAAGACTAACTACGCTTCTTCAGTATACACACACTGCAGTATTTCTTTTTTATTTTGATTTACAGCTTGATTCCACACCGTATTTTCAGTACAAGTGTGGAATTTTCAGCATGGATATCGGTAGCCTGAATTCAGGCCGGCCATATATATTGAAAACCAAATGTTAAAATTCTGTTTGTTCTGTGTTAATATCGTTTTATAATATGTGTAGACTGGTTGCTTTGCAATGTCAAATGTTTACTATATAAAAGACTTTCATGATAATTTAGTACAATAAGTCCTGCCAACCGACCTTACCTTCAGTTCATACTACCTACATTGAACTCTAACTATAGTGTTCTGCCGAATCTTGCTCCACTATTCACAAAACCTATTCTTTTATTCTTTAAGGGTTTAACATCTTATAAAATAATCTGTTCATTAGGACGCGTGCATACATATATAATATGTTCATAAATATGTATGTGGAGATCTATTGGAAGCACTCACTAAGAAATCTAGGGAAATGGAATGTGAGGTACGAACGTGTCTGGAATCAAGCAATGTATTTGCTGTAGCCATAACAATCAGAGCCTAACATCATAAAAGGAGGGAGGGTGGCGCATGCTGACCAGTAGTTATGGTGGTGGACACTAAGGTGAATCACCCCATTCTGCAGGAACAGCAATATGCAATTTGACGGCTCGAGATTTCTATGAGCGCTTGCATCTTTATCTTGATAAAGATAATAATGATCGCCTAGACAGACCATGCTTCTACCTTTAAACATATACCATTCGGTCAGCCTATTGCTGAGATGCGACCACGTGGGCTCTGCACAGATTTATGGGGCATCTTATAAATTAACATGCTTTCCTTTGTCGTATCTTCGAATATCACTTAACAATGTCTCATCTCATACATTTTCTAATAACGTCTTCACTTGCTTATTATATTCCACTAAACCTAACATTTTATAGCTCTTTATGAATTTGATTCGACTTATTCTATTCCTATTCTCTATAGGGTACGGTTGTGCACCAAATACACAAAAAGGTATGAAATTAAAACAACCGGCTTGTGGATAATTGTATTCAACCAAAAGTGGACATCATGATAGTAAGACCTATTGGGTAGCATTATACATTGCAAATGAACTTTGTCAGCCTAGGGACTATAGTCCCCCATTGTATTTCCTTTATGAATGCATCTGTTAATGATACATTGCACTTACCTATTTCATTACACCCTAATGATTCACCTCAGCACCTTTACTTTTCTAAAACAGCTTATTATCCCTTGCAAACGTTGTACTTACCTCAATATTGGTTGGTTATCGTATGCCTACAAATACGGGTTGAAAACGAAACGAAGTCGATTTTCCTGCGCAACCTGGAGGACTGCTGTTTAATTCAATAATGATACGACATGGGTCAGACAAAGAGTGTATTTATATATATATATTTAGCTGTTCAAACATTAACTAGTAGACAATCTACTATTTGACATTATATCATACTTGACCGTGCCTGTAAAAATGGCATCCATTTTCATGTAAATTTATGTTTATTTGAAAATATAAATTATTATTATTGCACCCCCACTGCTTAGAAGAGACGCCAACCTCTTGGAAAGAGTCCAACGACGAGCAACAAAAGGAGTGGTTGGTCTCCGAAATAAATCATATCACGAAAGGCTGAAGAAATTAGGCCTATTCACACTTAGTTACCGTCATCTTAGGGGGTATTTAATTACTGCCTACAAAATAACAAATGACCAGAATCACCCAAACAAAGGTGTTCTGCCATTGAGTAGGTATAGTCTCCCTCGTGGAAATCCTAGGAGGATAGCTGATCGGAGGGCAAGGACCCAGGTGCACTCCCACCTCTTTTCCCTGCGGGTTTGTCGTCCCTGGAATTCCTTTCCGGCAGATGTAGCTATGGCAACGTCTGTGGAGCCTTTAAGCGAAGGCTGGACAACCATGCCCCGACACAATGACTGTATCGAAATGGCCTATCCCCTTAAAATCGCATACACCATTCAAGGGTAGACAATTAAACCGGTCGTTTTGCTTCTTTACATTCTCTTCAGTCTAACTCTCCTCACAGCTTTAACTACGCCTATTATTATCATTATTACTGGTATGTATATATACCGGTTGACTGACTGTTGTCACGTTTTCTTATTCTTTTTCTATCTGTTAGTCTGAATACCTTCACTAATTATATCTATTATTATTATTGTTATTATCTCTTTTCTATTGACGACGATACCGAAGGACCAACTGGTGAAAGGATCAACTCCATTCACAGTAGTAACAGTCTTAGCACACCTCATACTACAAACCACAATCTTGACCAATCCTCGCACCACTCCTCTTGGAGTCTACCAGAGCTAAAGCAGTCGAGTGGCGGGATTTACTACGCAAAAGTTCACCGAAGATCTGGAACCTCTACCTCACAATCAAGAGGCGAGCACAAAGAAATCAAACTGGTTTATACTAGCTCGTAAAAAGGATATTGGATATTGGACTGAATTGGTTGAAATTTTGCGCTACAGATAGATGTTCCATCAGGGATATCATATTTTAGCTGAACTGTGGGTTATTTATTTATTTCTTGAAGTGCCCCACATTATAGAAGCCTCCTTAAGCTCAGACATCCGTCTGGAGTGTTCATTCGCCCAAATGAAGATAATCTATTGAGTATGGATAAATTCTATTATAATTCACTTTTAGAATGGGTTGGACTCATTTCAGTTCGAAGTGGATACTACTTCGGAGGGGTGTTCAGTTTTCTTCTGTTACTTCCGGACGATTTCCCGTCAACAAAAGTGCCAGTACGTTAATAAATTCGTTACCGTGTCGTTTTATAATCATGTTATTATTATAATGCAAATTGTAAGAAATCAGTTTACTTAAGTAGAGTGATCAGAAATGTCCTCGAAAATTTTGCATACATTATTATAATCTCAGGAGGTGCATTGTTCGTTGTTGGGCACTTTTAGTTGTTAGACACTGTTTCTTCCTACCAAAATGCTATGTGAAATATTAAAGTACATACATTGTATGCAACTAGTATAATCAATAACATTTGAACGAAGTTATGTACTGAAAATAAAGTGTACTTTATTGGGAAAATGTCACAAAAAACAAGTAACCTTTTTATCCTGATTAAGCTGCCTCAGATTTTAACCATTGATTTGTATTCTAATGTTTTCATTCAGTTTAGTGTGCTGATATTGTCGAGGAACATCTGATTGAATATCAAAGCAACACCCCAGTATTGATTTGTCCTTATGTGTGTGTATGAGCCCTTAGATCATAAATGATACATTGGCCAAGTTCGTACTTGTGTGGTTATCACAGAAAGATTCGCTCAACTGAATTAGCACTGTGAGAATACCATTTTAGATTCTCAAGTGTTGACTAGCTAATTTAGTCATTAATGCATTGAGGCCGTTTGTAAATATGATCAAAATCATCTGCTTTATCCCACTTGAGCTAACAGACCTCTTTATCATTTAGAGTGTCAGTCACTACATCCCACTCAGACGAGTTGGATGATGGATGAACTGGATTTTAATCATTTTCAATGGTCGTTTTACTTGCTAAAGGTTTTACTTCCTTTTCCACAAATAGGTCTATATACTCGTGGTATTTATTTACACTACTGCTCACTGTTTTTGAGAGAACTCTTAGTGAGTATACGTGTGAACAGCTTCCTGGAGTTGGTCTCTTTATTTCCATCAGTTTATATGTGACTGAAGGATTCTACTAGCTTTTATTAACTTTTGACTGTACGTTGTCAACTATCATCGCAATTCCTGCTGCACATGGAACTAGCTTCCTTCACAATGAGTATTACTGTCATCCTCAAAGAAATATTCAGTTAACTGTTTAAATAAAGAACTTACATTTTCATATGAAAGCTGGACACAAGATCTTCAATGTTTAGTTTCCTACTTTCATTCAGTCATGAGCTTCAGGCTAATGCACGGTCGGAGTTCAAGCAGGTGTGAAATGTAATGTCACTAATGCTGTATACATATCAGCGCACCTAGTAATGAGCTATTTATGATGTGAGTGCTGATTGTATTACTTGGCACGTATATTGGTCATTCAGTGCTTGTACAATGAATGAGCATGGTTCATAGCTTGTTACATTAAGAAATATGTTGTGCGTGGTTGTGTTCTAATTACCTAACTTACCAGTTTTCTACAATCTATCGGCTTTAAAGTTTTTTGGAGAGTAAGAAATGTATGATTATTACTATTTGAATTCATAAAGTGAAATTCTCCGTATCTGTTATGGATGCCTCGTCGCAAAGTATGTTGTGACGGAGTGTTGGTTATTGTTCATCTTGACTAGAATAAGCCTGCAGACAGCTGATCACTCGGAAAATATTCTTCACACTGAGTGGACACGTAGAAGTCAGATTTAAGTGCGACAACCACGACAACAACTTTATTATTCACAATACAGAGTATATATATATCGTTTTCACATCAACGGAAATATAAACCGTAAGTAGATAATCAATTTGTGATTGACTGCATCAGTCAATGACTTTACGACTAACAATGGTAGTTAGTCCGTCCTAATACCCCATTTTAATACTTTTAGTTAGGGGACCATTAGGTATAAGTATAAAACTTGGGCACTGTGGTAGAGTATAACTCCAAGTCAATAGAAAATGGTCAATACATATGTAAAGATGGTTATCGGGAGACGCAGTTATATCACTCATGAAGAAATTTAAATCATTTCACTTTATGCTAAATATTGCGCTGAAGATGTTGTCCAGCAGGGGGACGACGAAAGCTCAGCAACTAAACCAACCAGCTCAGAGAACACTATTAATTGCAAGAGTATAACTCCATTATAGATAAGATTTTATTTTGATAAATCACACAGCGTTATACAGTAATATTAACTGATGACCACGTTTCGAGCACAAACTATTGCTCATAATCATATCAAGTTACTCACACTTTTTTCCTTCATTTGTATACATGTGTGGAATTGACTAGATATTTGAATAAAGATCAATATGGGATAATGTACATTAAGAAATAATAATATGAGTGTTATTGATCAATTACAATCACATGGGAAATAAGACGAGTTTATTAGGTATTTTTAGGTTTCAGCACTCTCTGTCCATGAGTGTCACTGTTAATCGGTGTCATGCAGATGACTTCGCACACAAATGTATTTCAAAATTTCGCATAAAATCACTGATCTAAAGCTTTTTTAAATTTTATATATTTGGGTGTTTGCTGTAAGGTTCAGTCACTGAGTAGAAATCCTATCGACTGAATAGCTGTAGACAACTGGTGATATGGCTCAAAATCGTTCTCAATGGTGCATATGCATTCACTCTTTGTGATGTCATATCCAATAAAACTATATTGTTCTCCCATATCACTCCCATTGTTTCTCCCTCGCACTTTTGTTTATTATCTTTCTTTTGAATCTCTCCTTACTCTCTTCTCCTGCTTTGTGTGGTACATAGAGGAAGTGTGGCAACTGGAACTGCTACATATCTGTGGAAAGTTCAACTTTGAATCCAGCCAGTCAGTCAGTCATCGACATGCTTTTTTTTAAAAACTATCTTCTTTAACTATAACCAGTTAACAGCAGGTTTTCTGAAGAACAGAGGTGTATATATATTTTTAATTATCGCCAAATTACTACTTCTTACCTATTTATTTCATTTTTCCTCCGATGCGTTATTAAGTGTTTGAAATATCAGCTAATATACATAAAAAGTGTATTTCCCTCTATAATCTGCTCAAATTTATTTTAGAAAATATACCTACCTAAAGGATTCTATCATCCACACGTGGATTGTATTACTGGAGAAGTGAATGTTTACTCAGAATTCCCTGTATGGAATCCAAATAAATATCATATTTGGCATTTACTTCATTATTTTAAACGAATGTTAACTAGTCCGACTAGTATTATGGTTTCATCACTTGTCGAACAAACCGCTTGTATCCGAGATATGAGAGAGGTGAAGTATGCAAATACGGAAGCAGCCAATGCATTAATTCATCATCCAGAAGAGTTTGATACTCAGGTGAAATGTTGTGTCAGTAAACTCTCTGTATGGTCAGGATCAGCACAAGATATTCCCACATTGAAGTGAGTAATTATAACTTTATAACTTCATTTTTTTCCCTTCACGTTCCCCAGTGAAACATAGGGCTTCAAGCTAGTGGCTTGAAGTTTCTGTAGCAGTGTTTATTTTACAGGATGGGGTTGCTAGCCTCATACTCAACCTTTCCTCTTCATCAGCATCATTTCTGGCTTAGCGAGGTAAAGGAGTGCGTCGGCCGGGGACCGAACCCCGGACCATATGCATGGTCGGCGAGCGTCCTAACCACTATGCCACCGACGCTTCGTAGATGATTTAATTGTCGCTAATATGGTTCATGTAAGTATTTTCGGATTGAGTAAATTCGTGTAATAGCTCACCAATATATTAGTAGTACTCATCATCTTCCATTTAGGTACAACGAGATAACGCGAAGAGGAAGCTTGACTCTAACAGATGGATGCTCACTTGACGTCATAAGACTTCCGAATACAGCGGCTTAATCTCGATTTATCTTGAGATGCATTGTTGCTTTCAGCCATTATGTTACAATAGACAATCCATGGATGCCCTAGCAATTGACCTTACACACACACACACACATGAAACCTGGGCTTCTTAGCTGAAATAGCCAATAGATCTCACATGAAATGGTTCAAAGTTGTTCGTAGTAAGGTGATCACGTTCGTACTTCGTCGTCTTTATTGCCAACATAATGTCTTAAATATTGATTTCTTTTATATATGGTGAAAATCGATACTGTTACTCACATCTACAGATACTATGGTGAAATATCTGCTCATATGATGTATGAACTTGAAGACACTCGCTGTCTACTCGTAATGCACTCTTTGAGCAAAACAATTTCAGGGCATAATGAAATATAAAGCAGCAATATCTGGTGGTCGTTTGGTCTAACTTCTAGTGTCAGGAGTCTGTTTTGCCTTTCATTTTGCTGCGTAATTCAATCAGAATTATTCATTGCTCAATAAGATATTTAGGATATCGTTTTCTCTTCACACTTGGCTGTGCTGTGCACAGTTTACTTCTACATTTGCATTATGTACAGTGTTGTCATTTAGGTTAATACGTTGTACCAGTTATATTTATATATTTACCCATTTAAAGACTGAATTTTGATTTGGTTGTGTTCTGTGAGCTGATTGATTTAGTTGCCAAGCTTTCATGGTCTTTCTGGACAACGTCTTTAGCGAGAGCTGTAATATAGAGTGAACTTGTTGCTAATAAGTGGTTGGCGGCAATCGGAAGGGGAAGCCTTGGATGTCGGTTTCGTACTCGCTGGCACTCAACGGTTAACAAGGCGTATGGCCTCTGAGATTTTAATCCTTGTCAACCGGTGTTGCAATCAGAGAAATATTTACTGACTGTCTTCAAGAAGAATGAACATCCGTATATAATTCCATCGACAAAAATGTTTAAACTCAAATCGTTATGTTATCGAAAAACCATCATCATCATCATCAAATACCACAAGAAAATTCACTCTGCCATATACAAAGAACATCTCTCAAATAACAGCAGCTAGAATACTAAGACCATTTGAAGTAGACATAGCATACAAGCCGCCAACCAACACTCAATCACTTCATTCAATAGTGTGTAGACCAAAAGATCCAACAAGAAAACAAGATATAATCAACACAACCATTTGTTTAATAAATTCCATGAGCTGCGATAAATACTACATCGGTCAAAGTGGGAGTCCTTTTCGACTCAGAACCCCGAGAACATAAATCATCAGCTGTGAATAGACACACGACATGTTGTATTCTTTCATATCGATGCGTGTAGACAATTGCGGAGACTAATTTAACGATTGAGAGAATGTAATGTAGAAATTTCAAACAGCAGAGTAATGTCAGGAAATTTCCAAGTACCCTAGTACTCAGTTGAGTCAACGATTAATAAACACATTACTCTTAGTATAGATAAAATTTACCAACTAACAAAGAATAAATCACCACATGATAAGAAAGTTCAAATTCCAAGTGAATAAATATGATCAATAGAGAGATGTAAATTAAGAAACAATGAATGATAACAATAGTTGTCATGGGATACAATCATATCATCATTCATAGAGGAGTAATGAATGGTTCAGATAAGTCCATTTCATACTAAAACTTGTGCTATTGATGTTGTTTAGAAGAGGGAATTATATCGACCAGCTCAGATAGAGAGAGAACACAATCAAATGAGAATCACTCAACAGAGCTGCAAAACTTCTTCTTTATTCTTTCAAGGACTGTAGTTTCTATTTGCATTTACTTGTGAAGCTTGTGGCCTGACTCTTGAAGCAGCGTAGGGTTTGTTATCTGTAGACGAACAGAATTTTGCAACTGATTAAAGAAAAATGCCCATTAGAAATTTCAAAATACTGATTAGTTGACAAAGAATATTCTTTGCAGAGGCCATTGGAGTTTTTGCTTAAAATAACTGGAGCTTTGAATGCAAAAGAAACAATTCCCAGGTACTATTGCTACTATGTATGGCCTATTGTGGAACCTCCTATTAATTCATAAATTTTGTATTCCTTGCCTTAATTTATCTAGTATTCAGTTAAGTATTATTTATGTTGATATTCTCTAACATGTAACTGACTGATTGCACCCTATTTACTTAATAACAATAATGCTCGAATTGTTATGGTCGTAGAAGAACCTGTAGAACCTGTTGCAGAAGTTATCGAAGACAGTATTCTTTGTTCAGCAATCATTCTTTTAAAGCAGAATGTTGTCGTGTTACAAATAACTTATGAAGAGAGAAATTATAGTTTGTTTCCTCGGAAGTTCGGTGCTGTTGATGGGATGTCTTCGTTAGCCCACTAGTTCATATTTTCATTTTTGGTGAGAGGTATCCACGGAGGTATCCGTGGATTCTGAAATCATTATAGGTTGGAATACGTTAAAACTGTGTTAAATTTGAATTTGGATTTCTGATTTTATGTGTCACTTTCAACAGTTCGTCTCCTGTGATTACACTTACTCAGATAAACGTGTCCTTTTCAAGTGAGGATTTGATTGATTTCTAATTAAATTACGAACTGACATATGTTAGGGAATCTTTCGGGAACCGGGTAGTATTGAACAGATGTTTCTTTCTAGTTCAAGTCTCTTCATAAGCAGGCCCCCTTCCAGGGATCGAATCCAGGACGTTAAGATCACAAAGCGAGCACGTTATCATTCTGTTACTTAGACGGAATCCAACGGCCCGAAAATTCCAACTTCTATCGATTCGCGATGCATAGTATCACCGCCAACCAATAATATTGTCGAGCATCTTCCCCATACGCCACTTGGTGAACTCCATTGACGACCGAAACCTCTCACTAGATATCCATCCGGGTACTCTAACCTGCAGTCAGTCCCAGTGGCTAAATGGTCGATAAGCTCGCCTTGTAATCTGAACTGTTTTGTTCAGTCCCTGGTGGGTCATAACTGTGTTTTTCTGGAGAGTCCGAAACGAGGAAGAAACTTCTTTCCAATGCTCCCTGTTTGTTAAATGGTTTTCTAACTGATTCCAATTTCTTGATGTGAGTGAATTAAACTGTATCACTTAACGCAGTAAATTATTTCTCACAGTGGCATCGTCGACTACAGGTGTTTGTCAATACATGAGTCATTTCGTTTTCGCCACACTATTACTGGAGTTCATCGATGTGTATATTATCTCTTTTCGCTGGTGACGACTTGTATGAAGTACATGATTACTTTTACAGACTTGTGACTCATCGGGTATTTGCTTTCCAGTAGCAGCAACTAATGAGTTACCAATTCAAGCTCACCCGCATTTCGTAGAACACTTCTTTCGTTAAACTTCACTTCTGAATAAATTAAATTTATTCAGAACAAAATATTTAGAGCGAACAATTGTTTTCAATAAATTCTTCTTCGTCAGGCTCTACAATTATAAATCCATTAATTTAAGCACACAATAGCCAGCCAGTAAAGGCAAATTAGAATCATATCAGAAAGTGTATTGTGGAACAAGTATAAGATGGAATGGAACAATAGTCAGTTAGTTTTTTAACATGCATGGTCAATGAGAACATGGGACAAAATCAGATTAAGTAATTCAATTTAATGATGTGTGTATATATATAAATATAGTCAACAGAAAATACAGGTTTCGAGAGTGTGTGTAATCAGGGTGTGTGAGACAATATGAAAATAAACCAACGAATGGGGCGGACTAGACATAAGTTCAAGGTTGAAAATAACGACAGTAAGAATGAGTGTAAAATAATAACGATGATGTGGCGTAAAATTACAAGCACTATTGGTGAATGATTGTCAAATAATAATAATAATGAATATAATGAAGTGGAATGAACAGGATTTTGTAAATACGATAGCAAGTTAGAAAAGCACTACTTAAACCTAAGGTAATAAAATCATAAAAGTCGAAAATGAACGATTGTCAATCAAACAGAGGAATAGAAGAAGAAGAAAAGAAAATTGTGAAAGGAATTTATAGTGTTAATGGAGGATTTGTTGGCTTTATTGTAGGCTAAGGTAAACATGGAGGTTGAACATACTTCTTCTGTATGCAAAGAGATGGTCTTCTGGTATTAATTGCCACCGCTTCAGCTACTGATGGAAGACATAGTTGAGCTGCTCTAGATAAATTACTAGGAACGCGGTAAATAACTGAGAACGCCTGGTCAAGTTTTATCTGGTGTCCAGTATCTACGAAGTGGGCTAAGACTGCACTATATACACATTTGGTTACTCCTTTACTCAACCATACAGGTACATGTTCACGCGCGCGCATGCATAAAGCCCTCTGAGTACGGCCAATGTAACTAGCTCCACATGAGCAGTTGAATTCATAGATGCACATTGATGAGGTCATCTTTGGTAATTTATCCTTTACTTGCTGTGTGAGTACTGTTTTAGTTGAGAGTTTGAGTACCAGTTTAACTGCAGGAAATGTTCTATCTACTGCTCTATCAAGTCGACATTTATTTATATATATACACACATCATTAAATTGAATTACTTAATCTGATTTTGTCCCATGTTCTCATTGACCATGCATGTTAAAAAACTAACTGACTATTGTTCCATTCCATCTTATACTTGTTCCACAATACACTTTCTGATATGATTCTAATTTGCCTTTACTGGCTGGCTATTGTGTGCTTAAATTAATGGATTTATAATTGTAGAGCCTGACGAAGAAGAATTTATTGAAAACAATTGTTCGCTCTAAATATTTTGTTCCGAATAAATTATGGGAATATTCAATTTACTAAATTTAATTTAATGGGAATAACTGTTAGGAAAGAGCGAAAGACAGTTAATTGCCTTACAGTTGACTTTTCTATATCCAAGATGCCTACGTGAGTTCCCTAATGTATGATTCCACATAACAGTAGTTAAGTCAACAGCTTCCTATTACAATTTCCGAGTGAATATCAATAAACATTATGAGCATAGTTCACAAATTTCCTCTTCATGCCTCATTATCTTTTCCAGCGTCTCCGGTTGGACGAACGACAATTTATTAAACGATGCACGAAATTTCCTGGAGGTAAGTTTCAGCACATTTAATGTTTCATACAATGATTGCCTTTTATAAATTTGAACAAAGAAAGAAGAAACATTGGCGCAGGAATAATCTAGATCCATTTTATTTCGTTGGTTGGTTCTCATCAGCTGCGTACAACCTGAATTTTTTTAATTAAAAATAAAAAGTGTACAATTTTAACAAACCTTCGACCATTATTAGCAAGCATAGTGTCAGAGCGTCATAGTAAAATAAGGCATTGAGATTTACAGGGTGTCTAAAGTGTCACGACATACATATATATATATATATATCTTGGTAGAGATAGGTTTCTTGAAAAAATTAGTTAACAGTTGTGTTGTTAAGGTGGTAACAAAACACAATTAGCAATAGTTACGTAATTAGATAAGAGAAGATCAAAATTTTAAAATTACGGTGCACATGAGGTCAGATGAGAAGTTGATGATGTAATACAGTGAGCAGAACTCAAAAGATCAAGAAAAATTATCTCTTAAGAGAGTCAAGCGAAACATAAAGGGGTGAGGTGAAAAGATAAGTTAACAAAATTAGAAAACAAAGAGTTACTAAGAAGTGAGTTATCAGGGTAATTGAAGTCCAACAACGGATTCTTTTTGGACACACAAGTCAGGCCTCAATCGTTTTATTGATATAGCTTCAGCAAACCTGAGAAGACTTGAGGTACTTTGTCTGTTAATTATTTTGAATGATTCCAGCACATCTACTCGGTGTCCTGTGTCAATCAGATGTTTTGCAATTGAAGAGCTTAAGTAATTCGGTCCCTTTAACCGGAGGCTCCTTGGTACATGTTCGCAGAATCTGACGTAGGCCCTCCTCTCTGTTCTTCCAATGTAACTGCTCCCGCAGATACATGTGAATCGGTATACACAGTTGGAGGTAACATGTGAAGGGTACTTGTCAATCTTTGACTGCACCAGTGAAGAGGTTGTTCGGGATAGAGAGACTAATAACGCTGCAGGATACGTCCTAGACAGGGCTCCGCTTAATCTTTTATTTATCATTCTCATAATGTCGTCGCCCTTGTAGTTGAGTTTGATGAAAATAGGCTTCTTACTGACTGTAGCAGTATCAAGCTTCTTGAGTTCATTCTTGCCATATTTGTTAATGAAACTTTGTGGGTAACCATTTTCTTTCAAGCATTTTCCAAGAAACATTAGTTCACTGTCTAGTTTGTTTGGTGAACATATTCTCTTCGCTCTAGAGAAAAGCGTTTTCACCAGCGTTCGTTTGTATCTCACCGGGCAGAAGCTGTTGAAATTCAAGTAAAGACCACTCCATGTGTCTTTACGGTATACAGATCTTTCGAGTGTCCCGTCGTATTTTCTCTCCAACTTTAATAATAATAATAATAATTTGCTTTATTCCAAAACAGTACATGTGATACAGAATGGAATTCTCAGCATTTTTACTACAGTATTGCATCCAGTTAGTACATTATCAATAAATAGAATTCTACATAGATTAAGGAAATCTCAGTTCATTATTACAACAACACATTGGCATGTCGGTAGCAAAGGTAAAGCTGAACAGTGTTTGAAGGTGTTAGAAAAGTAGGAGCTGTCATATTTACTGGCGTAAGCGAGAGAAAGAAACAAAGCAGCACATAACGGAAAAAAGAGAGAGAGAGAAAAGGAAAAGAAAGAAAATGTTGTACCTATAAATGATATGAGTTGGAAAGACGAGGTCCAGTTGTACTACTGACTATTTAATGAATTATAGGTGTCACGCCTAATGCTTTCTTTATCACACAGAACACGAGCTAAGTAGGGTATGGTTGAGTTTTTGTACTTGCTGGTGCGAGCATATAGTTTTCTATATAGGCTTCTGGTTTTACCTGATGAGATGCAAGGGGAGAGTTGTGAGTGAAGAGGGTGGTGTGAGTTAGATAAAATGGATTTGGCCCATTTTTCACATGAGTCCATGTGCCTGTCGACCAGAATATTAACAAGCTGGTTAAGTGGCACGTTGCTTACCCTGCTGACAACCTTTAACATCCTGCGTAATATGTTATAGTCTTTCTTCAGTAGCCCGGGAAAAACTAAGGGGGAACAATAGAGAATAATAGGCAGAATGCGAGAATTAACGAATTGTAGGAGTAAGGGTTGGGTTATACCAGAATGTTTTAACTTCTTGATGTAGAAGGTAAGACGGAATATTTTCTTAGAAATCGCTAAGATATGAGACGACCAGGAAAGATCAGCAGATAGAATGACGCCTAGGTATTTAATTTCCGATTTGGTTTCTATTTCAGTGCCTTCTATGTTGCATACCTCGTGAGAGCCAACCAGTTTGTTTAGGTCGGATTTATGCCTAAAGGTGAAATTGACTGTTTGGCATTTGGAGGGGTTTAGGGTAAGACCGTTTTCCTTGGACCACTGGCTGATTTCTGATAGAAAGCCATTTAGTTTAGAGCAGTCACTTTGACATTTGACAGGCAAAGATACAGTCAGATCGTCAGCATATTTGACAAAATTAATGTCATTTGAAGATGGTAAGTCATGTAGAAAGAAAGAAAAGAGAAGTGGGGAGAGTACAGCACCTTGGGGGACACCGGCTTCAGTGAGTACAGCAGAGGATGATTTACCTTTGTATACGGTGTACTGCTTTCTGTTAGAGAAGTAGGAATGCAGCCAGTTAGTGACCCAGGACTCAGTTTTTGTCAAAGAGAGCTTATTTAGCAGGAGACATCTAGGTACAGAGTCGAAAGCAGAAGTGAAGTCGAGAAACGTGCAGCGGACGTATTTGGCACCTTTATCTAATGATGAGACGATGTTGTTGTGTAAGACGGCTGCAGCGTCTAAAGTGCTCCTACCCTGTCTATAGGCAAATTGTTTGGGGTCTTCAAAGTTTTTAAGGGAGGGTTCAAGTTTAAGAAGTATTAGTTTTTCCATAAGCTTTAGAAACGGGGAAGTGATGGCAATGGGTCTGAACTTTACGTTCTTGCCGTTTCCAGGTTTAGGGACAGGGACAATTTTAATGTCTTTCCATGCATCAGGTACGACATTTTTGGAGAAAGAAGCATTTAGGATGTTGGTTAGTGGAGAACACAAAGTATCTGCACATTGTTTTAGAACATATGCAGGTATACCATCAGGGCCTAGGCTACGTGAGGGCTTGAGCGTTTTAAGACATTTTAGAACATCGAGAGTATTAAAGTCATGAAAGTTTTCAGCTACATGATAGGTAACATTAGAAGTAGTTAAAGTAGAAGGACTTTGGCGCAGGAATAATCTGGGCAGTGTGAAACTGCATCTGTACATCAGAGTTCACCACTTGTATCAGTGAATTCCGAGAGGGTACAGCCTGTTGGTTATACGCAGCTGATGAGAACGAACGAAATAAAATGGCCCCAGGTTATTCCTGCGCCAATGTCCTTCTACTTTAACTACTTCTAATGTTACCTATCATATAGCTGAAAACTTTCATGACTTTAATACTCTCGATGTTCTAAAATGTCTTAAAACGCTCAAGCCCTCACTTAGCCTAGGCCCTGATGGTATACCTGCATATGTTCTAAAACAATGTGCAGATACTTTGTGTTCTCCACTAACCAACATCCTAAATGCTTCTTTCTCCAAAAATGTCGTACCTGATGCATGGAAAGACATTAAAATTGTCCCTGTCCCTAAACCTGGAAACGGCAAGAACGTAAAGTTCAGACCCATTGCCATCACTTCCCCGTTTCTAAAGCTTATGGAAAAACTAATACTTCTTAAACTTGAACCCTCCCTTAAAAACTTTGAAGACCCCAAACAATTTGCCTATAGACAGGGTAGGAGCACTTTAGACGCTGCAGCCGTCTTACACAACAACATCGTCTCATCATTAGATAAAGGTCCCAAATACGTCCACTGCACGTTTCTCGACTTCACTTCTGCTTTCGACTCTGTACCTAGATGTCTCCTGCTAAATAAGCTCTCTTTGACAAAAACTGAGTCCTGGGTCACTAACTGGCTGCATTCCTACTTCTCTGACAGAAAGCAGTACACCGTATACAAAGGTAAATCATCCTCTGCTGTACTCACTGAAGCCGGTGTCCCCCAAGGTGCTGTACTCTCCCCACTTCTCTTTTATTTATTTCTACATGACTTACCATCTTCAAATGACGTTAGTTTTGTCAAATATGCTGACGATCTGACCGTGTCTTTGCCTGTCAAGTGTCAAAGTGACTGCTCTAAACTAAATGGCTTTGTATCAGAAATCAGCCAGTGGTCACATGAGCTAGAGAACATTAACAGGGTAGACAACAAATTGGGTGGAGAAATATGTTCCTATTTGATTAGTTGTTCATTTTGAGATCAACACTAATGCAGAGGTTTTTTTACATCAAAATGCACATTAAGAAATTGACATCTATCCGTGGTCGTACTCTGGAAAGAAATCATATCCCTACGAACCAACTCTTGTAAATTAATCTGATGTTCTCCGGTGACTGACTAGACGACGAAGTTGTCTTCTGGAGTTCTAGGGAGAAGTTGTGAACACTGGGATCCACCATCCATCCGGTTGGGTGTGCGGAAAGATACTAACCGACTACTGATATTGGCTGATGCCAGTCACGCTGAAATCACGAATTGGTAGAGGTTGTATGTGGTGATAGGCTGGTTATTGAGTCGGGTCCTAGTGGCTGAATGGTCTACGATCTTCACTTATAATCGGAATGTCCTGGATTCGAACTCCAGTGGAGTGGTTGCTTACCGCCAGCGAGTCTGAAACTAAAATGAAACAGTTGTCCAGTAGTCCAGTGATGATTTTCAGTGGTTCTATAACTCATGTCAATCTGTGATCAAAATCACAAAAATTGTCCCAATCATGTGGTTATATCAATTCATTAGAATTATCCGTTTTAGGTATACAACGGGAGTGGGGGTAGAGTGGTGAAAAAAAGACAGATTAAAACTCATCATAACGATGATCGGCTAGTAGATATTAGCAACCTGATATCTTAGTGTTAAAGGAGGAGGTCAGAATGAAGCTGAGCTCAG